AAACAGAGCTCGAGCCGAGGCGCTTGCGGACCAGACCTTCAGCAAGCACCTTGTCGACAGACGCGGCAACCTCACTGGCCTTCTCAGGCTTATTTTGCACCCTGATGCAACGGGGAGCAGAGAGGTCAACCCTGACCCCCAAGATGTCGGCAGAAGAAGCGAAAGGGAGCTCCTTATCCTCAGAGCACGAAATGCCAAGGAGACGCATAAGCGCCCGAATCGTCTTTTCGGTGCTGCCTGAAGTCAAGCTGAGATCGAGCACCGGGTAGTCATCAAAATAGTTGAAGGCCATGCACCCAAGCTCAATCATTATCCGCTGCAGAAGCCTAGCCACACGATTAAAGTGACCAACACTCGCCAATCCACCGAAAGGCAGCACATGGCACACAAAGCCGACGGGCAAGCCATCTGATGGGCGGCGCAGGCTTATCACACAACGCTTCGAATCCTGTGGCCTGATGGGCCACTGCTTATACGCCGATTCCAAGTCCACACACTTAAGAACAGGCTTTACACCGGAGCTGTTGCTCTTCCACATGGGATGCAGAGGACCCCGCACCTTCGATCCATCAGAAAGCTGAAGGTCCACGTAGCCCTTGTCAAGCATAACCTTCATGAGTCGGGAAGCGACCCACAAGAGCTCATCTAGAGCACGCAAATCGATCTTTTCTGCGACTTCCCAAGAAGCATTTACAGCGTTCTCCGACAGGTCATCTATGCATCTGAGCTTGGCACGTTGGCGGATGCCAAAGCGTCTCACCGGCAGCCAAGTCGGGCCAAACATACTGTCGAGTTCCTCATAAGTGTACGGTCCACTAATCCACCCTTTGTCGTCACGCTCTGCAAGGGTCTTCTGCCAAAGCTCCTGGTCTAACTCAGTGGCCGCGCTCGCAATCTTACTCCACAAAGCAGGGCGAAGAAACTTTGCCCGAGAATCTAGCTCATCCTCTGTAAACTACGCCGCCTTGAAAGACGTCTCAAAGACTCCCGTAACACTAGCAGAACCCACCAAGCTGAATCCAGCCTTGATGTCTTCAAAGAGGCCCCCATCGGGCCACCCTAGCGATTGCGCAATCCGCTCGAGCAACAGCAGCTTTTTGCCTCGCAAGACACTAGCAACACTGCCATCCAGCGTCTTGTGCAACTCGGCCTCGGGCCGTTCCAAGGCGGAAGCCCACGCACGCCACTTCGTCAAGAGTTCCATCCTCTTTCTCATAATGGGCAGAGGCCCAGATATGAGAAGGTTGCAAGAACACCGTCAGGGATGTAGGCAAAGGCATCGAAGGGATGCTCGAGCTCAAGCGATGCCGAAACGAACTCCTGTTGTGTACGGTAGACACCAAATGTGGCAGAGGCTGGGCCTGAAGGAAACGAAGCGGCACTCGACACCTTGGGCTTAAGACAATCACCCCCAGGCACAGCGAGCCTAAGGAGACGAGAGCCGGCTGGCACAGAGTGCAATGCAACACTAAGGCATGATTTGGAATCCAGGGACAATGCCGAAGCATCCGGCACGCAAACGGTCACCGTGTACCGATATTCAGGCATGACAGGCTGCATCTTTGATGATTTGGCCTGGCGCTGAACCCAAGCATTGTGACAAGGCAGCTGGGCTTGTGCATCAACCCGAAGACCAGCATCTGCAGCAGCCAAGCGGAGGCTTTCTGCAAAGAGCTCGGCAAACTGCTTCGTTGGGGCAAACTGCGAAGTATCGGGACAAGAGCAAAACTCCGAAGGCTGCTGACAAGGACAGTATCCAGCAATTTTTGCAGGTCCAGAACCTAGGTGCAAACGGCAAGCACACAGGCGCATGGGCCGAAGCTGATCTAGGACTGCCCATGCCACAGGACCGAGCACGGTCCACTTAGCTTGAACATGTTCGCGCTGAAGAAGCGACACAAGAGCACGGCCTACACTGACATCAACTGCATCGGACAGATAAACCATGACATGGAAAGTTTTGTGCGCCAAGATCAGGCGAGCAAAGAACTCCCAAGCAGCAGGCCGCTCGGGTCTGAAAAGGCGAACCTTATGAGTTGCCCGCTCGGGCTTTTTGACGTCATACGTCAGGACATGGAAGCCACTAGCAGCACAAGCCTTTCCAAAGAGGCCATTATGACCAAACAGATCAAGCACTGTTACCTTTGCAGGCTGGAGAGCTCGGACAGGGACCGGCCCAACTGCAGTAGAGTGATTAGGGCCAGGGGAAGGAACCGGCGGGGCAGGAGGAAACCTAGTCCTAAGATCCCTTAGCGGCCCAACAGGCGAAGCCGGCATCTGGGTTTTGGCAGTTGGCAACGCAAAGCCCAGCGACGACAAAGAAGAACGGTCAGCCGGTGACAACTCCCAGACCTCACGGCTGCTGTATGCAATCAAGACAACTCTTCGACCCGAAAACGGGCTGACAGAATGCAAGCAATCGCGGGCGTTGAAGGCCCAAGAGCCCAAGCCAAAATCCAACTCGTCACCAGAAGAGGTCTCAGAATGCAGACGCAGATTGCCGCCCTGAAACTGAGTCAGCGGGCACACAAGATTAAGGGTCGGACCATTGTTCGCATCTTTATGGTGTGCGCTTGCAACCGAATCGAAGATTGAAATGCAAGAAAATTTGTGGCCTGGCAGTACATGAAGAGCGCATGCGCACAAGTACCTGCAAACATTAGGAAGTTTAGTCGTGTAGTGCCTCATCCCTCTCAAGACTCCTTGGGAGTAAGATCCAACAGTGAACGGTTGTCCACCACTCTGAGCTGATCGCACGATAGCTTCATGCGGCAACATGTCGAAAAGAGAAAGAATGCTCTCAGCTGTAAAGTCAAACGAATTCAAAAGGCTGCTCGCAAGCTGCTCCGGATCAGAGCACACATCTCGGGATTTACGGTCCCGATCAGTTGCCTCGGAGGAGCTCGCATCAAGCGGGCGCTTGAGTGATACATTATCACGCGCGAGGTGGGTCCTCGAATCAGCACAGTGAGCTTCGGCATTCGAATCATCGGACACAGGAGCGACCCTTGCCGCTTCTGGCTCCACTGAGCCCAATCCCGATCCCACTGGATCAGCACAAGAACTTCCCAACACGCGTGGTTGGGCACATGCCACCGGGGGTTCCCTCGAACCTGCCCCATCCACACAAGGATTGTCGAGCACCTCAGCGGTGCTCTGAAGGAGTCACTCCTTCTTCTCAGCAGAAGGTCGCCTTGTACAGTTAGCAGCATTATGCCCAGTCTGGCGACACCTTGCACAAATGTGGAGACCTTTATCACACCTGTTGTTCTTCACCGAGCGAGCACATCCATTGATGTTGAAATCAAAGCAAATATTCTCGCCCGCTGAAGAGCGTAGCAGCCGACAAGCGCCTTGGGCAGGACCCCGGTGCGCTTCCCTTTGGACTTGCCCCGGCCCTTGCCATCGTGGGCCCTACTGTACGGGGAAGGCCTCTCCCTCGCTCCGAAAGGCTTCTCGGACACATCACCCGACGAAGCGCTAGCAACTGGCAAAGGCTGCAACAACATGGTGACTTCAGTCAAACACATGACCTCAGGCAAAATCTTATCAAGCGGCCTACCAGTCGCATCGGACTGGATGCCCGCGCGGCTGCGATCCTGCATCTCTGCAAAGAGCCTCTGGTCGGCTCTCAACATCTGTTTCAGGCTGGGCCTCATATAGCCGGGAGGCGGATCCTGCAACCTAGCTCTCAAGAGCCTTTGATGCCACTCTTCAAGGACAGTGTAATCAATTAAATTAGCTTGATCACACGCAAGGGCTCGCCGCTGGAGAGCCTGCATAACATGAATCTCGGAATCAACAGCACACTGGAGATCCTGAGGCTTGGTCTCAAGCTTGAGCGCCTTGCCTTGGGCATCATGCGTAAACCGAGTGTCCTTCTTCGCATCGCCCTGAAGCTCAGCGAGGCGGCTGGTACATTTCTCCCATGGAATGAAGCGGAGAGTGTTAGCCTCGTAAATCGAGACACAGTAGTCCACAAGAGCCTCGGAGGGTTCCGAATCGCCCTTGATCGAGACACCGGCCAATTTCTTCACCTGCCTCGTGTACCTCTCCTCTCTCTCAGGAGCAGAGAGGGTTCTTGTGACGGATTCGTCGGTCTTCTCGACAGCCTGCCTGAGCTCGGTCGTTACGATTGCGTATGCAGTGTGAAAAAGGGCCCTGAAGGAAGCTTGCGCAGCCAGGTCAGCCCCGGTGTCACGCTTCACCAACTTCGTGAAAGCATCTAGCAAAGGCTTCTCATCTGCTTGCCCCGGCGTGTAAGAACTTACAAACGCCAACTGCTTCAAAGTCCTGAGGCCACTCAGGAGGTTTGTCGCGTCCTCCTTGGACAACCCGGAAGATTCAACTCTCTTCTTGAAGACAGCCTCCGAATCGGAGTACGACGCTGCCATAGCGCCGGGTCCTAACTGATGAAGCCAGGCCTCGAGAACCTCGAGCAAACCGGCACTTCCGTTGAAATTCAAAACAACTCGCACCTCAGTCGCAGCACTCAAATGTTTACAGTCAGCACAAGTGAGCACAGATCATGTTCATCGCTGCACAAGGCTCAGTCGTAAGCAAAGGTCTTCACCCCTGCTCGGGACAACATTGTCTGCAAACCGGGAAAAGATATTCAGGAGGCTCTGTAAGGTGATCAAACGCAGAGGAAATCTTTCGCCCGCACTTGAACCTATCACCTTCCTCCTCGCTCGCAACAACATGAACAAAACGTGTGCTACGGTGTCTGTACACCTTGCACTTCAAAAGTTGCTCTCGAAATCCCTCTTGAGGCTCCCACTTAGCTATAGCGTCGCAAGCGACCTCGGCCTCAGCATGATCCGGAGCTTCTTCATCCTCACTGCCGCACGACGAACTGTCATGCTCTTCCTGAGGATCACTGTTACGAGCGAGCTTCTCACTGGCAAAGTAACCGCTCCTAGTAGCATCTGGCCGAAACCTTCCAAAAGTCACAGCCTCGATGACCTCCTGCATCAGCCTCAAAGGCCCACTCAAAGTGTCACGAGCATATATTATCTCCGTGCCACAATCAGTGCTGTGGTAACCGAGGATAGCCCTGATCTCTCGCGCCACACCGTACTTCGCGAGCCAGCTCAAGATAGTACGCTTCAAGCTGTGAGTACCCAGGGCGTTGATAGCAGCCGAGTCGCCAAGCTCCCGCCTGAGGAGCTCACGCAAAAGCTGCCCTGCATGCTCCGCGCTGACCGGCAACTGTTGAAAGCCACCACCTTGCAACGGTACAGGCAGCAAGGGCGCTCCCTCCTTCAGCTCAACCCCCAGCTTCAGCAGCAGCTCATGCCAGACGACTCCCCATGGATCCGCCCTGACACCCATAACCGGTGCCACTACCGGGAGGTAGCGCGTCTTCCTCTCCAGGCTGTATGAGGTCTTCGATCGAGTCACTGAGGCTTCCAAGAACCCGTGGCAGCCGTCTGCCTCCAGAATATCAAGCTGCAAAGCTGCAGACGCTTGAGCATCACTGTAGCGCGCCCTTGCATACACAGCAAAACAGAAGAAGCCAGCGCATACACGATCGTAGTCATTAAACTTGACCCGCGACACGCCAAGTACGATGTCTTCCAGAGCTTGCACAAGTTCCACAGTCAGCGGAGGCCGCTGAACCAACCTCCTCTTATCCAAGAGGCAAG